CACAGCCCAGCCTTTAAGGTAAGAAAAGGAGATTCTAGGTCCATTGTGTCCAGCATGTCATCTGAATGTGACCTGAGTGACCTTATTCCAGTGATGCTGTTTCTGGCAAGTACAGGAACATACTGTAGGAGTGTGACGTGCCTGAGGTACAACAGAATCTTTCTGTATTATGATGCATCAGGTGGTTTATGGATTAATAATAATATCTCTACCCTTTGAAACAAACTGGAACAAGTGCAAGAGAAGAATATCTGGGAGTGATGCTGAGAGAGCAGGAGGATGCTCCTCAGCTTGGAGATATGAAGGCTGAAAAGTGGCTTCATCTCCAGGTTCAAGATTATAAATGATTTTTCATAAATTATATTGGATACAATTCATACTTCATAAGGGGACAGAACAACGGGTTTAAATCATTGTTCTGTTATATAATTTATTATAAACAAGACTGATGAAGTAGAGTCTTGTGTCCGCAGTTGACCATGTAATGGCAAAACCCTGGCTCTCTGATTACAAGGTTATAACTGGGGCATTTCTGCACACCTGGCAGCAAGATACCCTCATCAGAAACAAAGTGTCCCAGAGCCAGGAATCAGCCTCTTGAAGGCCTGGCTTGTTAACATAAATGTAAAGAGGCACAAAAACAGCATGTACTTATCACATACTCCTCGAACACATGGGTGAAATGTCACTTACATAATCTGACAGGTTGCAGTTGTGCTGTATGGTATAAAAACTGGCTTTTTAAAACTGGTAGAAACCTCTAACTTTTTGAAAAAGTCTTTCCATTTTATATTTGAGACAATGCTCCCAGCATGAGTAATGCCCATCAGTTATCAGTAATTTAGCAGATGGTGCCAGTGTTGACATTTGTTCTGGCTTAATTGTGCATGAGTGTGTGTTTTAAACAATGATGCAGCTGTCCCCATTCCTGGCAATTAGAATATAAAAATGGTGTTCACTGAATCTGGCATAGTGATCATTTATCCATGTGTTTACTCTTTTGTTTGCAAGGCCTTCTGAGTGTTTGCTGCAATTCTACAATCAGAATATAAATTTGGCTTAAAATGGAACCTAGCTCCATACTGATAGGAGCAAAAGGGACTTCAGATCTCCATGTTTTGAGATCTTAGGCCTCCAGCTCCACTACAGATGCTTGTGAGCTGTTTGTGTGTGTGTTAAAGGTACCTCTGATATGAAGATAGTCAGAATTAAAATGCCATTAGGATTAGAAGAGCAGTGTCAGCAGAAACCACTGGACTATTGCTGATCATGTGCAGAGGATCAAGTGACCAAAATCTATTCTACATAGAGTCTTGCTGCAAAGTTCTAGCCATTCCGAATGCCAGCATCAATCTCATTCACTGCTAATTCATGCAGGAGGCCTAACTGTAGCCTAACTGTTGACTACCTCCTCAAGGGAGAGCGGATGCCTTTGGAGCTGTTGTTGTCCTTCAACTATCTTGGCTCTTGGCTGGGTGGGCTTTTTGCTATTAGGTTAGCCAGTTACTTTTAGTGTGGGGACAAATTCCTTGTTAGGTCATGGCAAATCCGCATAAAATACCTGTTAAAAAATAATTTATCCTCTGGAAAAACTTTGGCAGTAATTGCTAAAGCTGAACATATGTACACTCTCTGACCTTGCAATTTTACTTCTAGAAGTAGATACCAGCAGATATGCATGCATGTTTTCACCCAAAAAACCATGCACCTGAAGGCTGATGGCAGCAACTACCCAGATGTCCCTCAGCTGTAGAATGGATAAGTTGTGCCACAGTCATTTGATGGCATACTATATAGCAATAAGATTGAACAAACTATAACTGCACACAAAAGTATTAGTTTTATATTGAACTGAAACATTTTACCACAAACTTAACGGCTTAAAGCAACACACACTTACAAGCTCACAGTTGTATAGGTCTTAAATCTGGGCACAGCATAGCTGGGTTCTCTGCTGAGGGTCCCAACAGCTGAAATCAAGGTGTAGGTGGCTGGAGCTTAGAATCCTCCTTGAAGTATATTCAGGTTGTTAGCAGAAGGCAGTGTCTGCTTCGTGATTGGAGGACTGAGGTCCCCATTTCCTTGCTGGCTGTCAACCAGGAGCCAGTCGCAGCTCCTAGAGGCTGTCTGCATCCTTTGCCTTGTGGACCCCTTCTGTCTTTGAAGGAGACAGCAAAGAATTTCCTTCGTATCAGCCACTCTCGTGGTTCAAATCTCTTTCACCAGGAAGAGCCCAGTCCCTTGTAAGGGCTCCATATGGCCATGCCCACTGAGGACAATTTCCTGATATTACAGCCAACTGATTTAGGCCAATTACATCTGCAAATTCCCTTCACAGCAGTGTCTAGATCAATACCTAGGGGAATGTGTGTACAAGAAGGGGTGAGGAATCTTGGGGGTCATCTTGTAATTCTGCCCACCACATGCAACAGCATGGATAAATCTCATAGTAACGTTAAGCAAAAGAAGGCAGACACAAAATAATACATAATGTATAGTTGTATTTATATAAAACACAAGAATAGGAAGCACTGATCTTTGGGGTTAGGAGTCAGAACAGTGGTTACTCTTGAGTACATAGTAACTGAAAAGGAACATGAGGGGATTCCTGGAGGCTGATAATTGATCTGTGTGCTGGTTACAGGGGTGTGTTCAGCTTGTGAAAACCCAGCGAGCTGAATGTTTATGATTTGTGTACTTTTCTGTAAATGCATTATATTGCAATTAAAAGGTTCTTAGGATAATTTGGATTCATTACTTGATAACAGATTTGTTTCGTTTTTCCAAGAAAGCATGCACTCAAAGACAGGCATCAGAGCGAGCACCTGATGGGGTGGAGAATAAGTAGGAATACAAAGGAAATGACAGTGCCTTGCCTGGAGTGGAGATGATAGTACCCCTCAAACTCTACACTTGAGCACCAAGTAGAGAAAAATTAGTGAAAAATTAGTACTGTCAACTTGCAGCCTGTGTGTAGGACCTACCTCATAATTTGGCCCAGTGCAAAGTGAAATGCAAACCCCCTTGTTCAAAAATTGGAAGACAGCAAGAGTGGAGCATTCAGTCAAAATCAATGGTTGTGGTGGGGACAAATGAACAAGTCCCACTCCCAAGAAGCCAGCCTGCCTGTGTGTGTGGGAGAAAGAGCCTCATCTCAGAATCCCAAGACTTGTTGCTAGGTGAGTTACTTTGGGCAACTATTGCTTTAGCCCCTTCAGCTGTAAAATTGGTTAGCCAGGGGCTAGGAGGTGAAAATTCATTAATACATGCAAGTGAAGCACGTTTTTATGTGCCAGAAAGCAAACAAATACAGGAATTATTATAATAATGGGGCCCTCTAAATGTTGGAGTTTTTCTTTAATTGGTTAAAAAGCCTACCTGTGACCTTGCAGAGAAATACAGAAACTCTTCATGGATAGCACAGGGGCCACTTCTGCCTTATGAACTAACACAAATCCCGAATTCTTGGTGGTAGCCTTATCATGAGATTTTACTGTGCATTCCTTGATCTTACCAGTTCAAAGAAGAAACTACTAAATGCCAAGGTCTAGAGGGTATTGGAGTCTGGGCACTTCCCCCATCGAAGTTCTTGTGCTGAGGTTTGAGTTTCGGTCAGGTTCCCGGTTGAATCCCTGATCTGACTCCAGAACCTCCCGGAGTGCCTGCTGGAGCCTGGGAAGGGGCACCCTAGAATCTTCCAACCGGCCTCAGTGGCGAGCGCTGCGGGCACGCGACTCCCAGCGCTTGGAGCCTCTGTGGTGTCAGGATGCCAGGACTGTCGCCTGGCCGGGTTGGGGGGTGGGGACGGTATTTCAGGCTAAGAATTTCTGAAGGGGCACGACGTTCGCATTGCGTTTCCGTGATTATTCTCCCTGACTTGCATTCTGAAGCACGAATCTTTCCGGATGTAGTAACTGACTTCCTAAAGCTTTGGGGGGACTGTGGTCCCCGAAGGGTGCCGGCTGCCTGACCTAAGATTTACGAGTGGTTTCGAGGATGAGACAAGGTCCCAGTGTCTCGGTGACAACAGGGTCTTTGACGAACGGCCGCCGAGTTACGGCTGGGGAGGGGGAAGAGGCCCGTGGCGGGGTCGGGCAGCCTGAATTTCTTCTGCAGGAGTTGGGCGCCGGGGCGCGGGCAGGCAGCCCCGCAGGCCATCAGCATGCAGGAGCGGCGAGCGCCGTCCTTGAAGGGCTGCCCGGCTGACCTTGCTCCGCTTTCTCCGGAGAAATCGCTAGAAGAGCGCGAGGACGCGGCCACGGCGGTGACTCAGTGCCCTGCGCGCCGCACGCAAATGCTCCCTTCTATCAAGTCCAGCTCCGCAGCGGCTGTTTCCTCTTCCTGCCCTCTTTTTTTTT